GAGGGTTTGTGAGGGGCTTTGGAACCTAAGGAGGTGCCTGTAGACTGGGCTGCCTCCTCCTGCTCTAGAGACAAGGAAGCCGGTTCCTCCAGGCCCAGCTGCCACCCACACACGCGAGACTATTTTTACCCTCTACCTCAGTGACAGTTTGCATCTCCCGGTTCTGGAAGGGCCATCTGGGCAGTCTGGCTGCCCCAGGAAGTGCCTGTACCCGGAGGCCACCATTTATGCCCTGCAGCTGTTTCTAGACAAACTTTAGCTCTCTAGCATGCCTTGGCCAGCAAGGGTCTGTAAGAACACCCCACCACCCCATTCAGACTGTAATAAAATGACCCAGATTAGTATCACTTGGGGGCTGGGCCTATCTGAACTAAAAAGTTTACATCTGCAGATATTTTAAATTGTTCACATTTCACACCAGGTTAATAAAATACTCTTTGTATGAACCACTTGAATGAAATGGCAAGAGTGATTTTATTCGTATATTCAACTGCACCCCCCGCCCTGGAAAATAGAAATAGATGGCATTGTATGTCAGTGTACTTCAGGGAGTCCCACGAGCCCTTGAACATCATTTATTTTCTGAAGTGGTTTCAAACAGCTCCCTGGGGTCCTGTTTACACTAGTCATTGGTTTGGCAAACTGTTCCTGGAACGGGCAAAGGTTACCTCTGCCCAGTTCCTGTCCAGATGATCTCACGTTTCAAATTGGCCAGTGGGGAAATAAATGATGTTTTACTGCATCTGGTACAGAATTAAAATAAACACAGGATACCCTGTTCAGGTTTTGCTCCCTAACTGAGATGACAGGGCTGGCCTCTGCTCTGTCTACCCCCACAGGGTATAGGGCAGAGGGAGGCCCAGGTGCTTTTACCCAAAGCAGCAGAAATGCCTTGGGGGTGCCTGTGCAGAAGTAGAAGGGGGGCCATGCCTGTGTTAGGACACCCACAATGGAGAACAGAGACAGGAATCATGAAGCTCCACACCCCAACCCCCTGCCACCTGTTTGATTTGTGCTGCCGAGAATACCTTGATCGGGGAGATCTGGGATCTTTTTCTGCCGCTGCCCCTAATTGGCTGGGTGACCTTTGACAAGTCAGCCATCCTCCCTGGGCCTCGATTGCCTCATTTGCAAATCAAGGGAGCTGGATCAGATAGTCTTCAATAAAACTTTATTTATAAAAACAGATGGCGGGCCAGATGGGTCATAGTTTGACTACCTCTGCTCTGTGGTTCCTGTGGGGGTGCAGAGAGCATGGAGCCAAGGTCTGGCCTAGTCCGCCCCTAATCCGCTGCCTGGGCCTCCATTACCTCATGTGTAAAATGGGGTTTGTCCGTATCTGCATTCCCCAAACTGTGCTCTCTGAATCAGTAGTTCTGTGAGGTCTGCAGTGGAAGGGAAGACACTGACGTAAACAGGTTCTTTACTACAGCACTTCTCAGGGCTTACGTATGTTGATACTCACTGTGAATTTTCCAGGGGGTGTACAGGAGGTAAGGAGCCCTGGTGGTGCAA